TCTAAATACTCAGGCCTAATACTGTGAGGGGTTTCCCTGTTACATCCCATTACCAGCCGTCCTAGTAGAGTAAACAGAATTTTACTCTACCGATTGACGTGTAATTTTAAGTTTATGATCTAGCGAATCAGAGGATGGTAATTAGAAATAGTTATTTGTGCAACTAGTGAGAAAAGTGAGCAATTGACTCACTCGAGAGAAATCCTTACTCACGAGCCGTAGGCGAGTGAGGAATGGTTTCTCGAGTGAGGCAATTGTACTTTGAACTCGAGTTGCACATTATACTTTTCCTACAGTTACCATAAAACAAATAAATTGGTGAAGAAACATAACCTATTTTTACACAGAAGTGAACTTTTAATATAACATTTAATGTGAAGTGACAAATACAACAGTACAACAGCTGACCAGCTGATTTACAGCCAGTGCTGCCAACATATTTCGCGCGCATACGACGTTGCCTGCATGTTACGCGCTCACTATTTCGTGCATTCACGTTGCAAATCTGGAGTGAGACAAAGTAATTAGAGTGAGACAATGTTAACATTGTCTCACTGATGAGCGAATTGGCCACTTTGCTTTCTCAAATCAGTGAGAGAACATGTACATTGTTAGATAACTGTAGGAAAAGATAATTTTCTTTATTTCATCGCTTCCCTCACGTTTTATTTTCTAAGATGAACTTATTCTGACTAAATTTCTTTATGTGTGTATCTTTACATGTGAATTATAATTTAACAGCTGTTTCTTGAGTTGAATGTTTTACCATTAGTCAGATTGTAAAAAAGAGACTAAACAGTTTATGAAAATGGATTCTACTTGTACATTTATAATTCTACCCAAGGACAAAGAAGAAACGTAATGGCATAGCTAATCACTCAAAAAATCATTTAGTTTTGGTCAAGTTTGACAATTGAATAAGGAGTACTAGTTCGGAATCATTAATACATGACAGGACGCCGATTCTTGCGTGTTTTGCTTGTCAAATTACTGTATTGACGAAAATATAATTGTACTAACAACAGAGCCCGTTGTGGTCCAATACATCGGTCTCTAGAAAAAATAATTATTGGTACAGATTAAGCACATAAATTTAGAAACACCCTTTAACCACAAATGCTGGTTGTAAACAACAAATTGTAAACAAAGAAAAATCAAGGAAATAACAATACAGCAATCAGCTGTTTAATTATTACACATGTTCCATATGATCAGATTATGCATACCGACAAACCCATTACTACCAAGAATCTTTAAAAAATCAAACTTTCATAGTTATTTGCAAATCTACACGGAGTGATAGATAATTACAATGGTCCAGTAGAACTGTAGATTTTGTACAAATATTTTTAAAACTGAATTATTATAAGAGTAGATAACAATTTGGTAGTATCCTCAAACGATACCTATGGTTATACCTTAACAATAGAGTCGAAACAAAGTTCTACACTTTGCCAATGCTAATTCCCATGTCAGTTAATGTGTTAATATTTTATCTAGTGTTATTAAATGCGACAGTTCAAACAATACTAATCATCTTTTCAAACAATGAACCAGGAATAACCTGGAGGTTGAAAATTTATCTAACGGCAGTCAAGAGTTAACCTACAGTCAAGTTTGGCAACTGTTGTATTATATTTATACTTGGTGAGACGGTATTGATTGTGTTTATATTCATACTAGTAGGCCTACCCTTATTAATGTTTATCATACAGTAGGAATTGAACATACAGGGTGTCCCGGAACTCTCTACCAATATTTTAGGGCATTTCCCTGGGTAGTTAACATACCTAAATATCATATTTAAATTGTCCGGAAGTCCTTAGTTACTCACACAGCCGCCATTTTTTTTCAGTTATTAATTTTTTCTAAGGAATGGTTAAACATACGAAATTGAAACTTTGCACAAACATTTATGACAACTAGACAAAGCTACCAAAAGAATTATGACGATTTTTAAAATTCATAAAACAAAATGGCGGCCATTTTAAATTTTGTTTCATAAATATCTCGAAAACCGTTGATTTTACAAAAATTTTACAACAATAACATTTTAAGGCAATTTTATTACAAATCGATTGACACCTTAATTTTGAAGATTGGACAAGTATTAACTGAGATATGGTAGTTTTAGTGATACGTAACCGCTGGAGGTTAATTGCAACGCATGCTGAAAGCGGTCACGTATCACTAAAACTACCATATCTCAGTTAATACTTGTCCAATCTTCAAAATTAAGGTGTCAATCGATTTGTAATAAAATTGCCTTAAAAAAGTTATCCTTGTAGTTTCTTTGTAAAATCAACGGTTTTCGAGTTATTTAAGAAACAAAATTTAAAATGGCCGCTATTTTGTTTTATGAAGTTTAAAAATCGTCATAATTTTTTGGTAGCTTTGTCTAGTTGTCATAAATGTTTGTTCAAAGTTTCAATTTCGTATGTTTAACCATTCCTTAGAAAAAAATTAATAACTGAAAAAAATGGGGGCTGTGTGAGTAACTAAGGACTTCCGGACGATTTAAATATGATATTTAGGTATGTTATCTACCCAGGAACAATGCCCTAAAATATTGGTAGAGAGTTCCGGGACACCCTTTATAAAGGAACATATTTAAGGAAAACACACACAGTAAAAACACTAAAAAACATCTTTTCCTTTACACCGTTTTGGGTTAATCATAAAACTTACAAGTCATGGGTTTGAACCACCTACCATAAAAGCAGTAATCCCCCCTTTTCCCCCTCCAGTAAAAATGCCATCGACGTGGACAGCGAAAACTGAATTACGATTTGCTTCATGTATTAAATCTCCAACTCATCTACTCTCAAAATGGTTTAAGAAAAGCTACAAAGTTTCGTATTATTTTCCTCAATTTCAATAAATAACAAATACGAATTAATAGACAAAGTTAAAGATTTGAACCTACAAACAGATGTGACTAATCTCTTTCGATGTCGTATCCCTTTATCCGAGTGTCCAATACCTAACGAAGTACTTGTTAAGGGAATGGTTTTTTATTTACCAAAAGCAATAGTTTGTATATACAATTTATTAACCTATGTATATCACAAAACACCTTTAAGTGTAATAATCATACCAATATAATAAATGTGAAAGTTTGTGTGTTTGTTTGTTTGAATTTCAATCACGCATTAACTACTGCTCGGATTGGGCTGAAATTTTGTATGATTATAGCTCACATTTCTGATTAACATATAAACATATTCTTATCTCAAAAATCCTTTCGGGCTCCACCCCAGTGGCTCTGGAGTTTACCATGTTAACCTTATGAGTATTCATATTTCAAAAAGGAATTACAGAATTTTGTCAGCTGTTTCAATAACAAAAGTTTGTTCTATGATAGATAATTAATATAATTAAAAATTTATAAGGTTTACCAACAGGATGCAGCACTATTGATTGGGTTTTTTTTTCATTTAACAACAGTTAATTTGAACTAAGCAGTAACATAAAGCTGTAATGCCCAATGAGAACTAACTGTCAAAGTAGGATTGTTTACAGCAGTTAATTTTATGTTTTTAATTCATAAATAATGTTTTGATATTGTGCAAATATTCAATCATTTACTTTTTTTATTGTGTAGGTGTAGGGGATAGGTAGTGATGTGTTATACTATAGCATACCGTAAATTAAAAGATCCAAATTTTCTCAAACCGTGTCCTCTCCCATTGTAAACGCAAAGCCAAGTATAATTGCAATAAGCATTTTATACTTATACGCCAACCCCGTACAAAGGACGGGTATTCAGCTAGTACGTTATATTAAAACTGAAAAACCGGCAATGGGAAATCCATTATCATGATTTGTGGTAAATATATCCATTAGTAATTTTGACCAAAGCAAAGTTTAAGTACGAAATTTACATATAGTTTTATCAAGATATTAATCATTTAGTGTTTTTAATTCACTGTAACAACTAAAAGTAATCAAGGAAATTGATTTTTACCATGGAGTACTATATCTACAACACATCGATATTTATACCTTTATAGCTATAAATGTATGATAACAAATATATTAACTGTTCAAGGACATTTTGAACACTGTATTCAATACCCATTACCTACTACCTAATTACTAATCACATTTGTGGTGATAGAGGGATAAGTTAATTAAGTTAAGAGAAACTTCTTAATCAAGCTAAGTGCACAAATCTACGCGACTTAAACTACCAGCCACACAGACGATGCAGCAAAGCCTGCGTTGCACTAAAGGGTAATCTAAATTTAATACTACGCGTGAGGATTAAGCCTATTCCGGGGTTTATTTACAGTCTTAAGTTCCGTGTTTGCACAACAAGCAAAATAATTTCATTAGATTACATGTTTAATCAATATCAAATGTTTATTATAGATTGTAAAAAAAAATCCTTGGAATGCTAAACAGCCTTAGCAAATAATAATCTTCGAGAAAAAATTGCAGAAATCAGAATTCCATTAAATGATTAATGTAAATGTAATGTTTTCTCCTTTCAATATACCATTTCAGTTGGTTGTCATTATTTAGAACAAGATAAAAAATTATGTGAAACTACATAATAGGTATAAGTTATTGTTGACATTAAAACACTGTCTAAAATTGAACTTGTATAGTAAATAAATTAATACATTACAAAAACAATATAAACAGTAATTCAACAACATGGTTACTTTCTACATGCAGTTTTGACAATGATGGTTCTAATAGTAATTAAAATAATGAGAAAGACTGACATTAATCCAAAAATTAAACACAATTTAACAATATATTGTAGCGAACGCTATTGTTAATACAATACAATGTTCTCTAATACTTTTTCTTGACTTTAGATACGCGAAACAACAAATCTAAAACGTAAGTTCTATAAAATATTACGATGAGAAAAATATTAAAAACCATTCTTAATTAAATGAATATATCATAGTCATGAACATTTAAACTATTTAAGATCGTCAAAGTTGCCTAATGGGTTAGTTCGAGTAGAATCAAAAAGGACTTACGTGGTCTGAAGAAACACTTGGGAAGCTGTGGAATCACAGACTGAGAGAACAGCAGCCCTGCGTGCTCGCCCTGCTCCCCTCCTAGCAGCAAACCTACCCCCTCCACCCCACCACCAGCCTGTCATAACATTAGGGAATAATATACGTGTCGAAGCAAAATAGTGCAAATATACAAGCCTAGTTGATATGTAGGACATTACAAATGGTTTGATGTGATTGGATTTATTTGGAAGTTTATGAGGTGATTTGATTTCCATCAGGTCAATTTGTAACACAATAAATTTGAAATTTAGGATACATTAAGTGAATTTCATAGGTAGATGCCATTATAACAGAAGTTCAATAGATACAACGAAATAGGAACATTTAGGAATTACCTAATAATTACCTGATAATTAATTACATCCTCCCTGACCAAGACCAGCAGAGCCGGATGGGTTGTGTCAATTTACACCAAAAGATTATAACACTAAAAACTTCCATTGATGAAAAAATAGCTTTCAATTTCGTACTTTAGCGGTGTATGAATTTTGTGTAGGCTAATAGTTTTTGATCAATGTAGTCTTGTTGGATGTAGTATAGCTGTAGTAGTCTTTTAGTAGTAACTGTAGTACTAGTCTTTTAGCAACTTCTTCAAGGTGGGGCAAAAGGCCGTTTCCTCCTAGTTTCACATTGATATTGTTGTACGTAACATAGTACGTAGCGTCAACATGTAAAATTACATTTGTTGTCGCTGCAGTATTCGAACAGTTTTAGTTCAAAGTTGGTTGAGCAATATTTCCCTTACATATCTTAGCGATCTTCTTAGCTTCAAAGAACGAAGACGTATCCTATGAAAGTAAATGAACGGATGGGATATATGTTCACAAAATGATTGGGCGTATTTGTTTAGCCTCACATATATTAAATTTGTATGTCTCAATTTGTAAAGTGTATTCGAAAATATATTTTATTGTAAAAGGAAACATAGTTTGTACAACTGAATATACGAAAACTTTACAAAGTGAAATAATTGAAAGAGTTAAGTTGAAAAAAAACACTGTTATCGCCACCAATTTACTTCTTTAATTCAATCTCAAAGCGTAATCTAAGTTGTAATCACTTATTGTGGGCCAATTGTATTTTCCTTCATAAAATTAGATGGTTTTCAACCAAAACCAGTCACATCCTAGTGAAGCATCGGATGAGACATCGTAGTGGTGACTCTTAGATTCCTTGGTGACTTTTACCATTAGTATACGAGGACCTCTAATAATTAAAGAGCCAATAGTGTTTAGGAGGAAAACCTGTTAAAAAATACCTATTGATTTTTTGTTTAACACATACTGTTGGTAGTTCCACGGACTACAGCACAAACTTTACTATACCGGCTGAAAAGCAATCTTTTTGTAGTATATTTTTAGATAATTTCCTACAAAACTTTTGAAGTTCTCGTTATTTTGTAAACTTTTCCCACGTACAAATAACGCTTACTTCAGTGGACCAAACTTGTCAAGTCACTAGGTCCTAAATCATATCATACTAATATTATAAATGTGAAAGTTTGTGTGTTCGCTTGTTTGTTTGTTTGTAGTGCAATTATGCATCATGTAACTACTGGTCTATTTAGTTTTATTTGGTTAAACAGGGTTTTAAATTATTAAAATAACAAGAAACAAATAGTAAACAAAACAAGGTCTCTGCAGTGCACCGGACAGAACTAATGATAAAATTGGCTTCAGCTGTTCCATAAGGATGGGAAATCTACTAAGGGAGTACCTATGTTTTAGGGTATCTATGCTTTAACCCTGTACAGTGTACACACATTTACCATCGTGTTCTTATGTAGCCGCACACATTCCTTGTATATGTTATGTGGTACTTAAACTTGATATAGATTGAGTTATCAGCTGATCTTATAATAACTTGGACGTTTAAAAGTGACAGTTTTAGGCCTAACTTCTTTGTGTTTTAATGCTACTGGATTTTGTTACGGTTTTTTAAGAGAATGGTCTAAAATCGTGATGATATCTAACGACACCCAAAGACAAATGGCATCTGTACAAAGAATAGACCCCGGTTAGGATTGAACCACCAGTCTTTAGATTTGAAGGTGAGCATTATAACCACTTGGTCAAGCAAACATTATCGTAGACCTAACTACACATTATCAGGAGGCACAAATTAAATCAACAGGGGTTTCGAAATTTACGTCGAGAAGTGTTAAGGTCAGGAGTTGAAATTTCAACACGTTAGCCAAAACAATTAGTTACAGAGTTTAAACTACCTTTTTTTAGAACTCTTTAACTACTGAACACAATTTTCAAGGTATAGGCCTACAACTTTTACCATAGACTTTAATAACTCTAGAGTATGTAATTAATCTTCAGCTGGTAGAAAACGAAAAACAGAACGTTATTCCAAAATAAGTACAGTTGTTGTGCGTTATCCCATTTTCTGGTAATATGCCACCAATTATTATCAGCCAAGCCACGGACGTGTTAATGGCGATCCATTACTCTTAACCTAGCATTAACTCATTGTGAGTCTGAATTTTAATTTTTCCTCTATTGCTGGTCTGGAGGTTCCTGCCCCAGTGAAACATTTAATCATAGATAAAACATTTAATTCAATAATTAAGTATCACTTTTCGTTGACTACCAGTTCTTTTCGTAATTACTCTCTTCTTTCAATTACTTCTAGCTAACGAGTTATAAAGAATGGCCAAGCATGATTGTAAGAATGTTTTCATATTTTTCTTTGATATTCTTCTTTAAAGAATTCCCTGTTTTGTAAATTTGCCATCATCATTAAGTGAACTGGTAAAGCTGTTTGAAGAGAAGAAAGATTGCAGAACAAAACTATAGTTTCCATACTGATTGATTATCCCAGAACATCAGTTTCAAACCTATCTGTAAAAGGGTTCTGGGTTAAAATATGATAAAATATTTTGAATACATAATTACTAACTTTTTTCTTTGTCTTGTCAAATATGATATGTTTTATTCGATATCTTGATACAAGGTTCAAAAAATCTGTTAAAGACTGTCACTTACTAGCATATTTGTGACATTCATTTCTAATAATGTTAAAACAACGTTTACTTGAACGAAATGTAAGAATCTAGTTCATTTTTGCATACATCGAGTCGAACTAAGAAAATTAATTTCCATGCAAACTGAGATCAATGAAATTAAATTACAAAAAATCCCTCATTGCTCTATGTTACCTGTCAATTCAAAGAGATTCACACACGACACGGCTTAGAATAAACTTGATTGGGAATTTTTTGTTCTCTATACAGTAGTCGCTGCTTGCGACAGTGTCACACTCTGTTGCTACAATATCCCGTGTCTGCTTATTGTACTTCTCACATAATGTAAACAGCTGGTGGTGCTTGGCTACCACACACTGGCGCTCTGTATCGTCTATATCCTGTACTCTGACTTAACGCTGCGAAATGTCAATAATGGAATTGTTTTTGGGCTTATTATATCAAGAATCCATGGAGTGTAATGTATGTAATCGTTACCAAAAATAATACCTAAATACATAATGTATCATGTTACACTTTACAAACCTTAAAGACCTAAAAAGATCTGCCTCTTACATGTAAGTAGATAGTTTTTATCAATATTACATCAAGTTATATCAATATGGGTTAAAATTCCCAATTTAGTCGAAAGAGAATTAATTTGCCCCCCTGAGCTCGCGAGTAACGCAGGTTCCGTAGTCAGGATTCCAGATTGATTTAGTTCTTTCAATCAAAGGGATGGGGTTTAAGTACTTTGTGCAAGAAACACCTGAAAGCTTCATATCGATTTTGAATATTTAGTTTAAATCAGGCATAACTTTAAGGTTCTAATCTGAAATTTTTTCTACGATTTTACCGTTATCATTCTTCATAGCATCACTATTAACCCATAACTTCTTGATAATCGTGTTACACGTGTTGGCGTCAGTACGAGGATATTTTAAAACACGTCTCCTAACAATTCTCGATTTATTTAAGCTTATAACGTCTGATGATGACCAGTTTGACAATGCGAAACAGACTTTGAGCAATCTTTAATATATTATATATTTACTGTCATGTAAATAGTTTACATCATACGTGTCAAAGTATTAAATTTAATCTCGAACGTATATTTTACTCAAACCTAATTCACTATCGTAATTAAATCTTGAAAACTGAACTCGGCATGAGTCTAATTGACAATGTAACAACAACAACTGAATAAAAAAAATTAACGACCTTTTAAAACGTCTTAGAACAAAACGACAGATGAACCAGCACTGGACTCGTCTATGTGACGCTACTGGTAGGCCCGTCTGTACATTATAGACAAGGCTATTTCGAGGTGAGTATATCTGTTTAGTGACAAAGAAAATATCTTCGACACCTTAGAATCGTTCGAATTGGCCCGAGTCCCTGCTCTAGTGTGTCGCTTCTACATCAAGCAAGTCTTCGATATCTGCGAGTTGTGAAAAAGGGGCTTAAAACACTAATGTGGTGTTCTGGATGAATTCCACCATTTGTTTGTGAAAAGTCTCTATATAAATTAATATTACGAGGTACAATTTAAGTTGTGAAAAAGAATAGGAAACGAACGGAGAGAAAAGGTAAGCAAATTGAGCAAAAGCTAAGCTCTTTTATAATTTTTCTAAAACAGAGCTCAAATAAAATGTTATTTTCAAAACAAAATATATATATTTAAAATTTGTTTTTATCATGCTCATAACTTAGCATGTCTACCATCATCAGAAAACTGTAGCGGTACTATTACAAACTATGCAACACAATGATCCAGAAATTTTGGTTCAAAGTTTGCTGTTCTTTACATCTATAATAAACCTCTTTTAATTGGATAAAACACCCTTTCGGATTTTGTTGCTATGTATAGAAAATTCAAAGCAACAATTTCAATACACAACAACAATACATAACAATATTTTGTTAAAAATAATACTTTTGCATTCCATAGAACTTGCTTGGACGAACTTAAATTTATGAACGCTGAAAAATTCAAATGAATGAAAAACAGAGTCTAAAGGCTGACAAATGTTCAATGTATTTTGATGGGACACAGATTATAAGCGAGTTATTCCCGATGGTTGATATGATAATTGTCTGTAGAAAACATTG